TTAAAAAATAACTTGACATGCATAGTAGTTTCCACTCAGTGTCCAATAAATGAACTGAATCACATTATTACTAGATTCTTCTGTGTCCAAAAATTTAAGGGGGCTCCTGCTTAATCCTCTAACTTATTGATTATGATGTTTATAAAATAATACAAAAAATTAATAAAATTTGCTACTCTGGGCTTCAAACATCTTTTAAATAAAGTGACCAGTTTTGTCTGTGATGAGTCAATAAATCTTTGAGGTGCTCCTAAAAATATCTAATAATTAATTATAGTCAAATAGATGTTATGTGATCAAATATTTTTAGTTTACTTAAAAAGTTATGAGCAAACTAGATTTTTATTAGAGAAATTTTTGTAAACTGAGGTGTTAATAGTATAGTTTCCAAAATTAATTCATTTCAAATTTATTTAATAATCTACCAATTTACACCAAAAATGAGGTTATTCTGACAGTTTGTTAAAGTTAACTTTATAAAACAATAATAGAAAAAGAATATATATGTATACTTTAAATAAACATCTACATCAACTTACATAGCATTTCAGAATTAAGAATCTCTTATGTTCAAAGACTTGATTTCATGTTTGACAGAATCTTTTAACAGTCTACCAAAATATTCACTGAGCAATAGCAAGACTTAAGAGGGGAGAGTTACTAGAGTTTCTTTCCGTTATCTTAAAGACAACCAGCTCCCTCTACAGTTTGGCTTACCTCGTTTAATTACTACATTACTGGACATCTCACATTCTTCTATTTACTTTTACTCTGTGTCTCAGCAGGGAAGCTCTTTGAAAGGATAATTCTGTTTAACCTGGTGCAGAGGAAACTGTTGAGAGCTGTCTAAACTCAGCATCAAGCAAATGAGAAAGAGTTAAGATGTGGAAACTGAACAGCTTCCCAAGTTCAACTGAGCCAGATCCTTACCATGAATCCTCAGGACAGTATTTGAAGTGAATTTCCTGACTGGTCACACCTATACTCAAATCTAAATGACAAAGAAAAAAAAACAAACAAACACTGTCCTTTCATACCTTATTCATAACCTTGCCTCCCTCCATAAAAAGTTACCAAAATGTTGTTATGAAAGAAAAAAATCAACCATTTCTCCTACAAATGATATTGCTCAATTCCTAGTTATGTCAAAACAATGTTCAAAACACTTTAAAAACGAATTAAAAGCAGATTAGGTTTTTGGTTTGATAAAAAAAAAAAAAGAAAAAGAAAAAACTCCACATCCCTGAGATGAAGAAAATTTAAGCAATTCTCTTAGGAATCAATACCCTCAGTCAGCAAGGGATTAAATCAGTCAGGATTTACCTTACAAATTTGAATAATTCACTTCTTTAAAGCCTTTTCAAATTTCACCAAATTAAAATAATATGCATTTTTGGCAGCACCTGTGGCTCAGTGGGTAGGGCACCAGCTCCATATACCAAGGGTGGCAAGTTTGAACTGGCCCCAGCCAAACTGCAACAAAAAATATCAGGGCATTGTGGCAGGTGCCTGTAGTCCCAGCTACTTGGGAGGCTAAGGCAAGAGAATTGCCTAAGTCCAGGAGTTGGAAGATGCTGTGAGCTGTGACACAACAGCACTCTACAGAGGGGATACAGTGAGACTCTGTCTCTAAAATAATAGTAATAATAAAGTGCATTTTTAAACTCCAAACACTTTATTTCTTAATTTTTCAAGATATGTCCACAAAACAGATCAAAAGTCAACTGGACTGTTTTATAAACAGAAAATTATTTTGCATGCAATAATAGAAAAACAGAATTAGTAAAAATGTATTAAGCCAATCGATTCAGAATTATAATTCTGAAATGGAAACTTGATTTGAGGAAAAAAGTCTCCAGTTACTATTTTTTAGGATCTCACTTGGAAAGTAAACTCAGTTTAATAACATCTTTTCTCCAAACCAAGGTAAATGAATTAAGGACTTTGAAAATTAACTCCTATACACAGAACAAGTATATTTATGGTATCTTTTGTCGCATAGGTTCATTACAAATTTTCATTAACTTATTTTTCTTGCTAGTAAAGACAAACAGTTTGTTCTTTCAAATAAATCTGTCTTCATTAAAAATTCTAGCCTTCATGCTCAGCGCCTATAGTTCAATGATTACGGCGCCAGCCACATACACCTGGGCTAGCCTATAGTTCAGTGCTTAGGGCACCGACCACACACACACTGGGGCTAGCGGATTCAAAACTAGCCTCGGCCTGCTAAACAATAACTACCACAACAACAATGACAAAAAATAGCTGGGCATTGTGGCAGGTGCCTGTAGTCCCAGCTACTTGGTAAACTGGGAAAAGAGAACTGCTTAAACCCAAGAGTTTGAGGTTGCTGTGAGCTGTGATACCACAGCACTCTACCGACAATGACATAGTGAGACTCAGTCTCAAAAAAAAAAATTTAGCCTTCAGATTCTTCCTAAGCCAGATTGGCCTCTCTTTTGAACTAATAATTTTCAAGTTTTATTTACTGGATGGTCTAGACTACTTTTATTTGAGAAAAGAATTCAAAAGCAGATAATTCTAGTTTTTGTTTACATTTAATTAACACTAATTTCATTGGGAATTTCTGATGAAATGCTAAAAATGCTGGCTTGATTTATGAAAGCAATGAACTATTAAACATATACCAATGACTTCAAATTTTTCTATTAAAATTTTTGTTTGAAAGTGTGAACTGTATTTATAGGAATTCAATTTGATGATCCCTTAACAATTTGAAGTTTAAGATTATCTGTATCAGCTTGGCGCCCATAGCACGGTGGTTACAGAGCCAGCCACATACACCAAGAGTGGTGGGTTTGAACTCAGCCGGGGCCAGCTAATCAAAAGCAACAAAAAAATAACTGGGCATGTAGCAGATGCCTGTAGTCCCAGCTACTTGGGAGGCCGAGACAAGAGAATCGCTTAAACGCAAGAGTTGGAGGTTGCTGTGAGCTGTGACGCCACAGTGCTCTACAGAGGGTGACACAGTGAGACTCTGTCTCAAAAAAAAACTATATCAAGTTATATATCTTTCAATGTATGTACAAAAAAGTCTTACTTTTTTATACATTTATACAATTTATTTCAAGATATATACCAGAAAAACCCATTTCAATTTTTTCTTAAGGAGGGGTGTGGTAATCTAATTGTAAGATATCCAGGAGGAAAGAAATATTCCTTATTATGAAACAGTTGATTTTTTTTAAATAATCAGAAGCACAAAAGTATATTATACCAGTCTTACTTTTTTAAGAGATATTACCTCACAAAATAGAACTGCTGTTAACTCATAGTGAAATTCATTTATTTCCACAAACAAAACTTCCCATAAAACAGAGCTTGAAAATCACTCAAGAATACGACATATTTAATCATTTGGGTGGAGGAGAAAATAAACTACTTGTAGAAAGTAACTCAAACCATACAAGCTGTAATACACAGAAATGCCACAGTATATCCTATTAGCATGTCACTTTCTGATTCATAAATTTGGCTGAACAGAACTACACTATCTTACCCTTTCTCTGTATCTGAAGGTAAAACAGTGTTATTACACTGAAATTCCAATTAGAAGCAAAGATACCAACACTGTATTTAAAAACGCAGAAAACCTATTCATTGGAACACTTTATTGCCTCTCTTTTCCAGCCTCCAAACTTTTAAGTGTTACACTTACAACACATTAACAGCACTCAAATTCCCTGTCTTCTCCAGGTTCATATCATCAAAACCGTTTTCACTATTTTAAAAAAGAATATGCTACCAAATCTCACGCCACTGAAATGTTCAACAAAGAGAATTCACATTAAAAGATAACTGCTTGGAATGAGTGCTTGTGTTTGGGAAAGGGCTATTATCTTGATAGTCCACAGAAACTGACTGTAGTAATAAGATGAATGGCGACGAGGGCAGGGAGCATCAAGCGGGAAATGCTATCTAAAATCCCATAGGGCAATACACAGCTAGAGGTAAGAGCAGCCTTTTCTAAGAGGCAGCTCCAATATTTCAAATAAGCAGTTCAAAGCATGTAGAAAAGCAAAACATTTTTTAAACGTGTCAATTTAGCCTCTATCTTATTTATACTATCATAAATCAACAGGAGATTGAGAAGGTTCTGTCACTGCTTTCTCTCTACCCCACCCCTTCTTCAACATTTTTTAAAAATGCACCTGTATTTAAAACACAATCCTACAACCCAGGCTAGGAGCATTTCGAAATGTCGGTATCGGTGAGTTATGCTGTGATTCCTAATAAATTCCCCCCGTTAAATCTGATGTCTCACGTTGGGCAACACAAACACGCACGCATTGATGCACCTTTCCCTGAGAGCACTGCACCTGGGGACGCTGCCCAGTCCCCAGACGCAGAGGCGTTAAACTAAGGAGTCACGACCTGCACTCACAGCGAGCCACATGGTCACTTCAATGAGAAAGATTATCTGGCCCCAGGCGCCACTCTAGTCAGCCCACTGCCTCTCCGGCAGGGGCAGAGGAGAGCGAGGGTGAGAAGAGGCGACGCAGAGCGGCTGACAACAGAGCTGACACTTCCCCTCTCCTCTTTAAGCCATTTCCAGAAAGGGGCATTTGGGAGACGAAAGAGGTGTCCCGGGTCCCGTCAGCTACCGACCTGAAAGCCGACCCTTACCAACCAGCCCGTGGCTGGACACGGCGCGGTGGCCCGGCCCGCCCTCGGCGGCCTGAGCGGCGCTCGCTCCCCCTCCCGCGACCCGGAGCGCGGGCGAGCTCTCAGCCGCCGCTCGCAGTGTAAACACTCGGCGCTCGCCGCCTCCCCGCCCGAGGGGGGTGGTGCGCGGCGTTCGCGCGGACCCACATTTTTGCGCCCCTTGTCACGCATGAGAGGAAAGGGCGGCGGGGAGGGAAGACGCGGCAGCGATCCACGGACACGGCCGGCGCCGGCGGCGTGCGCGCGTGTGCGCGGCAGGGAGGGCGGCCCGGGCGCCCGGCCGGCTCCGGCTCCCGCCCGCGCCCGCTTACCTGCCGGGGTCGCTCCAAAGACTCGCACCACCGGCACCTTCTTGACAGGGGCCTGGGTGAGGGGGGATTGGCAGATATCCAGCCCCTGCAGCGGGCTGGCCATGTAGTAGTCGGCAGTCACTATCCTCACTGAAATCATGTTCGCCGCCGCCGCCACTGCCTCCCCTTCACTGGCGACCCGGCAGCGGCAGCGGCAGTAGCAGCGGCGGCGGCGGCTCCCTCCGCAGCGGCGGCGCCCCCTCCCCGCTTCGGCTCGTCCCCCTCCCCTCACACACAGACACCGCGAGGAGCGGCGG